GCCCACAACCTTTGTGTTTTAGTTCCTCCTTCTGCAGAATGAAAATGCTGTGTTAATTTTTGTAAAATGTTTTAAGATCCTGGGATAGGAGGTGCTTCATAAATGCAACGTCATAGTAATGGTATCATCATCATCATCATTACTAGTTCTACTTTTAGTCTGAATGTACAGCTGGATGCCATGAACTCCGCAATCTCAGTTCTGGTGTTATATTTTTCTGTGGCCCTGGTGATGCTCTCAAACACAAGACCTAACTGTACTGGCTTTCTTGTCTGTAAAATGGGACAACTGCTTACCAGAGGGAAAGGGCTGGGAAAATTAATGTTCATGTGCTCTGTGAAGGTGCTTAGAAACAATATTTACAGAAAGACACCAACATTTTTGAGAAAACTGAATCTCTCACTTACAAATTAGGCCCTGAGTATACCACAGAAACTCAAAACATGAGGTTTCTTATGAATTACACAAACATGCTATTAGAGTACATAAAAAATATACCAGGATAGTATTGCCCATCACTGTTCTGTCTCGCTTCCAGTTTCACACCAGCTGAATTAGTGACTCCTGCAGATCTAAAAAGAAAGTGATCAACAAAAATGGACGTTACTAAGGAAAATTGTCTGTAAAAGTCAATTCAAACAATAATGTGAAAATATGCAAGACTAAGCTGAAAGCCAATATTTTATTATCTGTTGAAGTAATGGAAGTTTTGCTTTTGCGTTCAATAGGAACACAAACAAACCCCAGTGTCGATATTTACATTGTCTTGTTTCTATTTTGTTCATATGAGGCCTCAATTTTATTTTAATTTTGTATTTGAATGCATCCAACTCTAGGCCCGCCATTCCTATTTGTATTAGTTGGCCTTTTTCCATTTTGCATTATTTCCTCATCCTGTTGTTGTTTCTTAGCAGGTGGTCTGCAGCAAATAGTCACAACCATCTATTGTCTCCAGGTGTGAAACATCATAAACTATACATATATGGTAGAAAGATATGCCCCAGCACTTCACTTGGAAACACTTCCTTATTATCAGTAAGAAAGCCATCTTACCCAGACATCTCGATGGAAGGACGTTTAGCTTGAAAAGGGAAAATCAAAGAAGATCTGTTAACATACTGCACAAGTATACTACATAAGAAATTAAAATGAAGGCAACACATGGTGACCTTCTACCCCCGAGTGAAACTAATTTCTGGTGCCTATAGTGAAGTTTTGCATCTTATTACAGTGGATGTAGAAACTGCTGGGCAGTGAAGTCCTCTAGTCACAAAACAGAGACTGTACTGGCAGTTCCAGCACAAGCTTTCTCACATTCCTATCAGGATCTAGCATTACTTCCAGCTCAGCATCTATGACTTATTCAAATCCTTGGCTGTCAGCTAGGTTGCTAAATGTAATAGCTTCCATGATGCTGACTGAAAAGCTTTCTAACTATAACAACTGTTTGTCATGGGCTGGTACTGTCTTGGACCAAAACTAATCATCTGGTGCTTTCTTGCAGGGGTGCTATGATCTACTCAGCACCTCAGGCAGCCTAATGTAAGGATGCCTGGAAAATTTTTCTAGATACGTAGTTCATCATGTGGATTTGAGCAAGCCTTCTTTATTTTCTACAAGAACTAAAGAGTAGCGTAATGGTAATGGACCCAATCACAAGGTCACTACTCAGCCATATAACTAATAATGAGGTGAATGGGAATGATGCTTCAGTGAGGAGTAAATAAAAACTGCATAAGAACCTTAACAATTTGCTCAATGAGAATTAGAAAAGAGTATGAGCACTCCTGATCTGGGGACACAAATTCAATGACATGAAATTTAATTCTCCCTAAGAGGTTAAACCAAAATTGCAGAGCACCATATTATGGCGGTTTGAAATCCAGATCTGGATTTGCAGGTGATATAACTTGGGCCTCCCTCTATTAATGTTTTTCTTACAAGTACCTTCCCACCAGTAGGACTCATAGTTGGACTTTAACCTCACAGATTGTTCAAAAAGCTGCCGCAGTCTCAAACTCTGGTCTGAGTCATTAACAATTTTTTTTCCACCTTGTACCCCCAACTGTGGCATTTTTTAGTTGGCTCTGCAGGTATTTTAAGCACCTAATGGCTAGACTGTATTTGAGATCTCATTCTGGAACACGGCCTTTACAGGTATCAGAGCTCATCCACAGTTTTTACAAGATCACACCATCACATCCCTACAAGGGGGAATCGCACTCCATCTCAATCCCTTTTTTCCTCATGTAAAAATATGCTTTAAAACCTCCCTTCCTCCCAAAATACATTTTTTGCAGCAACAATTTCTGGATCTCCATGTCTTACCTTCTCATCCCTGATCAAATTCTCCTCCCTGGCAGCTAAACCTTCACATTTATTCTATACATGCAGCACTCAAGAATAGAAGAGAATTGTTTTTACCCTTTCTCTTCTTCCGTAAGTACCACCAGCAACCACCGCAAGCCAGTATAACAAAAATGACTAGGACGAATACTGCAATAAGCACTTTCTGCCAGGAAGCCAGGATGACTGAAAATGGAGAGAGAGAGAATGTGAAGACACAGACAGTGGTAGGAAGTCACTACTGGCTTTTAAAATTCCTACATCCTCTTTAAAAGTATCTAGTGCTTGGGAGCATGCATCCAGACAGCGCTGGAGCCTTTGGCTTGTGCATCTTGCCTGCTGCCATAAATTGCTCTCCCTGGCTGATACCTAGAATGGCAAAAGAATCACAACAGACCAGCTCTGCCAGCATCCAGCACAGCATAAATATGATGTGCTGTACAGGCGCAGTCATAGCTTACCATTAATAGATATTTCATCGCTTCGCTGGACTTTGTTGGTTGGGTTGGAGGCTTCACAAAAATATTCTCCTGAGTCCTGCCTACTCAATGTTTTCTTATATGACACGACTCTGGTGTCCATGTTTGTTTCTTCAAATAAGGGTTTTCTGTTATTCCGTTTAAAAAATTTGAAATTAATTGGAAAAGATCCTGTTTCCACGTAGCAATAAAAGCTGATACCTTTGCCGTCTTCCACTTCCATTTTGGGCACACTGAAGAGGTTTACTTTCCCAACAGAGGCTGCAGAATAAGGCACAAGGAAAAGAATTACCCATAAATTATGAAATGCTACTCTAGAAATGCTTTTTTAAGTGTCAGTTTACCTTAGCGCCAAAGACAGGTTTGCCTTTGCAACTTTAATTCACCTCCTTAGTGAAGCTACATTATGATAGCCTTCAATGACATGACTGAGCCACTATTCCACAGAGACCCTGTCTCTACAATGCACCAAGTGAACATTACTTACTGAATGTAATCAATGTATTCAATATTTCTCCCAATGTACGACTCAATGTCTTAGTGAATAGATGCTCTCCACATACTGAATCATTCATTTCTTCCTGGACTTCACAAACATTATTAGCAAGTTGATCTTTATAGTTGACATTATCTCCATTTTACAGATGGGAAATTAAGACAGAGAGAGATTAAGACCCAAACTATCAAAAGTCCACCAGTCTGGGGTGCCCAATTACAGACTTCTAAAGACACAATTTCTCAAAGCATTTGGCATTTTCCTAGT